GGAGAACATAAAATTGTTAGTTCATAAATTTTTGAGCACCTTTGATGTCTCAGGCATTAAATGGATCTCAGGGAATTAGGATCTGGTGAGACAGCAAAACAAACAAAACACTTAGAGGACGGTGTGAGCCGTGCAGGGACAATGGCCTCCAATAGACGCTGGTGGAGCAGGGAGAAGCAGCTCCTGAGGTTGCCACAGAGACTGAGACAGAAGCTTCTTCTTTAAGGATACGTTGGGATTGGCTAATCCAAGGTGAAGGGCAGAATAAGCACTGGGGTGGGCGCCTCTGTCCCCTGGGAAGGTGCATCAGGCTGAAGCAAAACCCGTTGACATTACCCATATCCCGTGGGTCCCTCGCTTTGCCTGGATTTTGGGTAAAAGACGTAAGAAATGGAGGGAAGGTGAACAAGTCCTGTAAATTCCTTATCAAATACTGACTACAGTGAAATGTATGTTTTGGTGACATCTGGGCATGAACACTTACTGTCTGGGAAAATTCACCTGGGGTGAATTTTAATTCAAGGCTTTTAATTTCCCATCATCTGAAATAGCTGCTCTCGCTGCCTGGTGGCCCTCACGCCTGACGCTCAGAAGATGAACAGATGGTCATGGCAGGAGTCCCTGTGGTGCGTTCATTGATTTTTTAACCCTTTCCTTTCCGGCATGTCTGCCTTCCATCACATCCTCACACAACCCGTAACACAGCCGTAAGAATAAAACCAGCCTATCTTCAGGACAGGAATATCCTATTTATAACAATCAAAGAGTTATTTTAAGAGAGAAAAGGAAAGAAAAAGAAAATCTGGCATAGACTTTCTAGAAAAACTGAGGGGTCATTTTCTCCAATCATTGTTTTCTCTCAAAAAAGAACATTTGAAAATTATCTACTGTGATTTCTCCTGTATTCTGATTTATACATCTATGTAAGACATCTTAGGATTTTTAGACAGACTTACTTAGTGGGGAAGTTTCTATGCCTCTCTGAGGTTCCCCTTCCCACACATAAAATGGAGCTATGATGGTATCTACCTAGCATAGATCTGTGAGGTTTAGTTGAGAGGATGGTATGAAAGAGCTCTGATCTCTAGGGCACTGTCTTGGCACATAATGCTCTCTGTTTTACAGTCTTGCTCTCCCCTACCCCCTCCCTGTAATACAAACAGAACAAGTAGTCATTACAGCATAAATCATTAATGCAAAGAGCAGGCACCCTCCTGCCTCTGGGAGACATTGCCGCTTTCATTAAGGAACCATTTGAAGTGCTTTTCTTTCTTTGAAGTCTCCTCTCTTGGTGACTTTCAAATCTAGAATAATGTTTTATTTTATTATTTTTTAAAGATGTATTTATTCATGCATACAGAAATGGGGTACAGGCCAGAGTTGGGTAGGTGGTGAGAAAATTCACCAGAGACAGAGTGGGGAGCAGAACAGGCAAATCGAGTGAAATCCACTGCTGAGGGGAGCAGCAGGCTGGTCAGGAGATCTGCCATGCCATGTGGATCAGCTCCCTGGTTGGGGATCAAACTCGTGCTGGAGTGGCTGCAGACAGCTTCATAGTACTGTGCTTTTAACCTGCTGCACCATCAGGGAGGGCCCTAAATCCTGGCTTTTTTGCTGTAAAAATGTGTGGTGGTTCCTTAGCTTCTCTGAACCTTGCTGTCCTCATCTATAAAATGATCACAAAAGTATCCACCTCCTAGGATTACTATGAAAATTAAATAAGACATGTAAAGCACACAGCACCCAACCCGGTGCAGAGGGAAGACTTCGCCATACAGGTTTCTGGTAGCGAGAAGCTTGGGGCAGCAGCAGATTTGGGGTCAGAGACACTTGGAGCTAAATCTTAACTTCACTAGTTACTTGCCTGCTAACTCTGTGCAGGTTCCTGATCTCTCCAAACATTCATCTCTGAGTGGCATACCGCAGCATACCCCTGTTTCAAAGGCTAGTTCAGTGAGCTGATGCATGTTACATGCTCAGTGTCCTGTACACATTAGACAGTAAGTGGTGGTGGTGATGACAATGGTAATAGCAGTACTTACAAAGCTCTCACCAAATGCCAGGCACTATTCTAATCACTTTACATGTATGTAATCTTGCACAACCAATGCAACAATTAGGTCCAGTTACTGTCTTTGCTTTACACGGAGGGTTGCTGCCAAAGTTTCACTTGACTAAGGTCAGACGCACTCTTCATTTCTGGCTAGAACCCCCCATCTGTTCCACCAGTTTTCACAACACTTGGGAGAGGTTGTGGCGGGGTGCTCCCACTGCCCAAGACCAGATGCGTGATGAGGGCCAGAGGCTGATCTGCAAGAACCGAGCCAGCCTCCCCCAAACCGCCAGGACCCATCAAATTCAGTCTGCCACAGCCAATCCTGCTCGAACGTGAGAGGGAAGGTCCCTCCCTGACACTGAAGACAGTGCTGGGGTTTGCTTGATGATTTCAAAAGGGAAACACATTGGGGTAGAATTCACAGAAGTTCGGGCAGGCCCGGGTGCAGCAGCCGGTGGGCACCCTGGTTCATGGAGGACGCTCAAACTCCCGCTTTCCTCCAGAGACTGACGCTCTCTCTGCCACGGTTCACAGGAAGGCGAGAAGAGCACCAGGGACAGGTGGCTGACATCCTGACAGATGGGACTGTGAGAAGGCTAAATTACATTAATGGCCCAGAGGCAGAGACCAGAACCAGAAAGGCGAGAGGGGAGAAATCAGGCAGACTTTCTGATCGGTTAGCAGAGTAAGATGCCAAGAAATAGTTTTATATAGGGCACTGACCCCCCTGCCACCCCCCAGCTCTGTTCATGCTTTCCTTCCTTGAAAATGGCCCCAAGTGAACATTCAAGCTAGGTCTCAATCAGATCATTGCCCTCCTCTAGAGGTACGTGGGCCCGCTACAGCTGCTCAGAGGCCATGTGGAAGGCTGTGCTTGGACTGGGGCAGAGGAGGCAGGATGCCCCTGGGGTTCAGCCTCGTGGGGTTCTGACCCTTGTGGGGATGCATGATGCTGCAGCTTCTGTATGCTGGTTGGTCTTTGCCTCTAGCAAAGAGGGTCAATTCCACAGTTGGAAACTTAGGAGCTGCTGGGAAGAATTCTAGAAAGGAGATGTGAAAGGGAGGAGGAGGCAGGCTCACCAGGAGCCAAGTCCAGATCATTCCCAGTCACCCTGTCAGCTTCTCTGAGTGGGTTACAAGGCTAGTGGCTCTGGAGAAGTAACAGTATCTGGGTTTTTGTGAGCAGAGCCTGTGGGCAGTTGTCTGGTGGTGTCATCTGTGTCATCTGGTGTCTAGATGATAAGTCAGAAGGTCTTCTTTTCATCCCATGTGTATCTGCCTCCTGGCTTCATGCTCTTTGCAAAGATGAAAGAAACAGGAACCCAAAGGACAGTGCAAAGAGGGGATTAATCCCTTTTGGTTATAACAGGATGAAATTAGGAATAAGAACAGATCTGGCCTTCTATATGTTTCTGAAAAGATCCCCCAAGCCTCTTCTCCCACCCCAAGACAAAGGACACTGCCTAGGTTTAGTGTGACTAACCCACGGCACAATCTTTTGCGGCTCCTTTTGTGCTTGAAAACCAGGGTAATGGTGGCTCCACTTTCACCAAGTTGTTAGGAGGACAAAAACATTTAAAACAGGCACAGAGCGCGTGTGACGAGGGATAATGACGAGTCACGAAGCGCCACCTAACATTTATGGTCCTGCGTGGACTTGCCTGGGCCCCTAGCCTGTGTCTCCAACCCACTCGTTATGCTAACTAACTCGCATCAATTCTAAGTATAATTATTACAATTATTATCGACTAGGGTGAGATGTAGCTGAGCCGCAGCATGTCTGAGAATGACTGTGAGGATGTGGTTGACAGTGGGTTCACCAGGAGTCATGTAAAGACTGCTGAGAGGGTGACGGGCACCATGGTGGAGAGGCCTGAAGACACAGGTGGGAAGCAGCAGTGTGAGCGCAACAGACACCCATGGTGGGAGCCCTGGCGAGGCCTGGAGATGCTCTACCCGAGGAAGATAAGACGCAGGGGGAGGGACAGCTGCCTTCTAAGGCCTTCTGCCTGCACTGTAGGAACCCAGAACCAGGCCAGAAGTAGGTCAGGGAGGGTAGAAAAATTCCAGCTCAGCACAGGAAGGGTTTTCTGATACGCTGACCCTGAATAGACAGCAAGTGAGTGACCTGTCTGGGAGAATCGGAAGTTCTGGGGCTCAAATACCGGACAGGTGAGTGGTGCTCGAGGAGATAAGGTCCTTTGCAGTCGAGACAGTCCAGTACTTTATGTCCACTGGCCCATGTGACAATAATACAATGCCACTGTTCCCTTCAGCAACACACTGTGCTATCTGGCAACATCTCTCCTCTTGCTCCTTAATATAAAGTGTGAACTCTTGTATCTAGGGAGGTGATTGCTGATACCAGCTCTTTGCAGAGTGACCTCTAGCTCCAGGCTTTCGATGAGAGAGGCCCAGAGTTGGTCATGTGAAGGGCTGGGGGTGGGGAGAGGGCAGAAAAGTAGCTGAGGGACAGCAGGAGAAGCGGGGCCCTCGGGAAGGGGAACAAGATGGGGAGAAAAAGCCAAAAAGGGCAAAAAGCAACAAACAGGCCCCTGGAAGCACGATGGAGCTTTTAGAGCCTTTTTAAATAGTTAATCAAAGCGTAGGCCCAGCGCCTTCATCACTAGGACACCTGGGGCTTATTAGGAACATAGACCCGAGGCTCCATCCCTGGCCCACTGAATTTGAACGTGCATATTATTAACTCCCGAGGTGATCTGTGTGCATGTTAAAGATGAAAGGCACCGAGGTAGAGCTGGGTCACGCAAGGGAGACCTAGCCTCCTCGGCCGGCCGGCTGTGCCTTCATCCTAGGGAAAAGGCGTGGCAACGGGAAGAGTGCCTGGGAGTCTGGGCCTGGAGTCTGGTCTCCATGGGGACGGCCCAGCTGTTTCCAGCCCAGCTGCTCCAATTACTCTGTTTCTTCAGCTAGTCTGGTTCAGAACAGGCCATCAAATCTGCATGAGGAAGCCAGCAGCCCTGGGCTCCGGGGCACAGGGGCGCATCTGACACCTAATTAAGCCATCCCGGTAAACCAGCTCTAGAGCACCTGCCATTATTTTAGGAAACGGCATAAAGAGAATGATAATTAAAAGTAACACCCTGGGTGGGAACTTCTACTTCATTCCAGCGCTGGCAAGTAAAGCACCTTGGGAATTTTTGAAGGTAACATTTCTATACATTTTCGTAACTCACACAACCTCAGAGCTTGCCCCCACAACAGTTCTCCCCTTTCCTCTGCTGCTGCTTTGGGTTTGTGGCTTTATTCTCTTGCTGTTTCTTTTTTTCCCACTGGGTGTTTTTTGATTTTACTTTGACTTGCACGGGGGGAGGGTGTTGCTTCTGGATATTATGCGCCTTCTGAAGCAGAAAATGCTCAACCCAGCAACATGGACTTCTTAAAAAAATAATATAATGGTTTATTTTTACATCATTTTGTGTATTTTTCCATCTCAGTTGTAATCCCATGGGCTTCCCATCACCAAATCACCCGTGTGCCATCACCATAGTTCAGTGCATTCCCCCCACCCCCACCGCCCAACCCATCCTTGATCCCACCCCCCACTCCACTCCCATAAAATGTCTCTGGTATACAGTTGTTCATTATTATTTTTTCCCCCCTGGTCCTTTATGCTCCTGCTATGAGTGAAATCATCTGGTATTTTTCTTTGTCTTTCTGGCTTCTTTCACTAAGCGTGATCCCTTCCAGCTCCACCCAGCAACATGGACTTTTCAGGTGAGAAGGCAATTTTGCACTTTACAGCTGGGCCCACGTGAGGCATTTTCATGGCAGAGAATGTTCTTGTCCTAGACTCCCACCAAGTGGCACTTGGAGCTTGGCTGCCAGTAGAAAGTTCAACCTCAGTTACCCACTGTTAGTCTGAAGCCACTCGCCATCCAGCAAGGGCTCTCCTGTGAGACCGCTCTTCTGAGGGTTGCCATATGGCCCTGGTCTACAAGGCCCTGGCAATGGGCCCATCACACCCCCAATGCGCTTCCCCAGTCCCTGGGCCCACCTGTCAATGGTCCGAGTCACTTGGTTTCTCTCATTGCCCTGTCCTCATGCTCCTCCACCCCAAACTGGCAGACCCCGACTTTTGATCATCCCACAATCCAGTCTCCGCTCTCTACTTCTTGCTGCTGAGAGAAACTACAGAGAACCCCAGAAGCACCAACTGCACCCAGGATCTCAAGCCTCACCTGATTCTCAGCCTTTTAAGCAAATATTTAAATTGTCCTCCACTACTACAAGCCTTTCCCATTGACCTCCATCCTTTACTTGATGTTAGCCTGAAATTTTCACTGGCATTACACCACACCTGCAAAGGCTAATTTCTGAGCTTTCTCCTTCCCTAATTCCTACCCAGTTAGCTGATATCTGCCAGTCATGTAGCAGTGATGCATTCTCCAGGAGGTGTCCTCTTTCTTTTTTTTCAAAGATTTATTTATGCATATAAGAGCTGGGGTGCATGCCAGAGGTGCAGTGGGGTGTGTGTGTATGTGAGAGAGGATTCACCAGAGACTGAGTGAGGAACAGCTGAAATACATTGCTGAGGGGAACAGTGGGCGAGACAGGAGAGGTCTGCAGCCCCATGTGGGTCAGCTTCCTGGCAGGGGGTCGAAATCCTGCTGCAGTGGCTGCCTACAGCTTCATAGTGCTGAGACTTAACCCTCATTCCACAAGGGAGGCCCAGGGTCCTCTTTCTTTCCACAGCTTTTTGAAAGCACTTTCAATACCAGTGGCTTCCATTAGCTTACATGGGTGCTTTTCATATGTTTGGAGTTCCTGGGCCCAGGCTAAATAGAGAAAATTCATCAGAAGCACTTGAGTGGAGCCTGGGATTCCTCTATTCAAGAAAGTTGCCTAAATTAGGAATGTTTCTTGGTCTGTACAACGGACTCAATTTCAGTCACTCTCCACTTGTCAATCAGCTTCTATCCGAACCACTCTGGGCAATTAGGCAGCAGTAAGCCATACAACTCAGGTCCTTTCCACAGGCCTCCCTGGCTGTACTCACTTTTTTGTTGTTGTTGTTAAAGATTTATTTATTTGTGCATACAGAACTGGGGTGCAGGGGCAGTGAGAGGATTCACCAGAGACAGATTGGGGGGCAGAATAGGCAGATCATGAAGTACACTGCTGAGGGGAGCAGCGGGGGAGACAGGAGAGGTCTGCTGGCCATGTGGGTCACCTCCACCGCCAGGAATCAAGCTTGCACCGAAGCAGCTGCAGCCAGCTTGCAGTGCTGTGTCCTAACCCGTTGCACCACCAGGGAGGACCCTGTAGTCACTCTTAAACTCTGGTCTCCTTTCCTTTTTAGCTTTCACCTCTGGCCATCTCTGACACCTTTGGTGTGAGCTTCTCTTGCACCTCAGTGGGCATTTCCTAGCAATCCCTGATCCTCAGATCACTGCTCTTCTCAGTCTGTGGTTCTTCCCTGAGAAATAAATGTCTCGGTTCACAAAGTGCACGCTACTTTATAACTCCTGCTCTTGTTTTCCCTGACTTTTTTCTCATCTGCTTGCTGGACTCCCCCATCTGAGCACCCTAAAGGCATCTTCACCACAAGTGTTTCCAGTCCAAATCCATAATTCCCCATGTCTCCCCCTCCACCCCATCTTTCACCTACGGCTTCTGCCCCGGCCTGCTCTAATCACTACTCACTGAATAGCCCTACTTCTGCTGCTCTGGAAACCTAGGGATCATCATCCAGCCTCCTGCTTCCCATCTACTGCAGTCAGCTCAAGTCTCTTCATTTTTACCTCTTAAATATTATAAAACTGGCCCTCCCTGGTGGCACAGCGGGTTAAAGCACTGCACTAAGAAGCTAAAGCCACGTCTGCATGAGTTCGATCCCTGCCTGCCCCAGAGGTGACCACATGGCGAAGCAGACCTCTCCTGACCCGCCCGCTGCTCCCCTCAGCAGTGTACTTTGTCCGTCAG